AATCGGATTCTTCAACGAAGAAATGAACTTCTGCAAAAACAAACAAAACTTGTTTCCCTTGGGAACAGTCACAAACACATGTTTCTTCCTTCTCAACTGCCACTCGATCACATTACAACATAGCAACCAAATAGAAGCTCTGTTCTGTTTGGGAGAAGGGTTGTTGATCACTATACAGTGGGGCTGCAATCTCTCCAGTTGCTGCCAAATACCATCTTGACCCTTCATAGTGGAAAAGTTGTATCCTGCCTTGAAATCCATAGGAGATGCAACTTTAACACCATTCTTTGAAAGGAACCAAGATAATCCACTGTTTCCATGAAGTAACTCAACAACATCAGGATGATCATCATTACAGAAGAAAAAGGACTGTTCTCCAAATTCGGCATCAACATACAGTTCGTGATCTTCACGTAAGTTCTCCGGATTCTCATCGTCTAATGCCGGTATGGAAACATCATGCCACTCATCGTGATCGCGTCTAACCTTTGACTGATTCACACGTATCACTGCCTTACCAGTATTGGCTTGGACCATAGCTCCTTCTTGTCCAAGTACTGTGGCACGAACCCAACGTCCTTTATCCTTGAACTTTGGTGAATCCTGAGTCCAAACAAAAACCTTCTCTCCTTGGAAATAAGGACCGTCACTTGGCATAGTCCTTCTTGCAAGATCTGCTCGAAGGTCCTGAGCTTGTCGTGCTTCTTGATGAGCTCTCAAAGCCACACGTTGTAGTTCCAAATTTGTACGATCTTGTGCGGCGGCATTAGCTGACAATTGCTCAGGGCTTGCGGTCTCAAGGTCAAAAAGATCTGGTGGACGTCTTCCAGTTGCTATCTCTATTGGTGAATATCCACTGATAGTCAACTGACAATTTCTTGCCCAAACTACCTTCTTGACCACTTCTCTGACCGTAACACCACGAAAACGTGGGTCATCCAGATCTACCTTCATAACATGCCACATACGTTTGAACAAACGTACAGCTGTCTCTGCTCGGTTCGGCCAAGGAGTTCTTGGCCCACAAGGACATTGTTGTATATCATGGAACCTGTAGTATTCAACAAAAGCATCGGTGAAAAAGGCTTCGTCTCCTACGATGGCCTTCGGAACACAATTGTTCTCATCAGACCACTGCCTCAATGCTTGGATGGTGGTTTGATCTATTAGGTCTTTCTGTGCCGTAGCCCAGAGAAGATTTGTGGCACCATCAAGAACAAGTAAAATGATATACTTGTTCTTGTGAAGTTCAACCTCACAATGATCAGCAAAAACAACATCACCAAAACATGAAGCTCTAATACCGGAGACTCTGGCTCGTGGCGGAGGTGCCACTGAAGTGTTACAAACACGGCAGTTCCTGACAACTGATTCATACTTCTCTAAAACAGAGTCAGGAAGCTTCAACATAGAAACACGTCTACGAAACTGAGTAGGACTCATATGGTAGTGCTTCACATGAAGCTTATAAAGCTCTACCTTGTCCTTCAGTCTCTGTAACATCTTCCTATATGCCGGTGTCATTGCAACAACTTCACTACCAGGTAATGGGATTGAAATCCGCCTAGGCTCAAGAGCGCCATCACCTGGTTCAAGTGGTTCATGTTTATCACTTGATGGTCCTTTTGATGCTTTAGGAATTTCTACAAGTTCACCTTCTGGCCTCTCAGGTGGTTCTGAGGGAGCATACTCCTCAAGATCATCACCCTTTAAATCATTCTGAGGCTCAGATGGTTTCGACTTGTGTCCCTTCCAAAATGGATCAAAACCCTTGGAAGTATACCGAAACTTTGGCGGCGCGGGCTTTTCCGCGGCACTTGATGGTGCACCTTCCTTCTCTGACGAGAAGCCTGGTTCCCTGTCCTTTGCAATGGGAACCTTCTCTGAGGAGGAGCGCACCACTGCATCGGGATCACCAATGCCACGGTGCTCAATGCCAGCCTTCCTGATCTTTAGATCTGGAATTTTGGCATCTGGTTTGAACTTAAAAATTGTTCTACCACGCCATTCATAGCCAATTTGTAGGTCCTTCCATTTTGCCTTGCGCCAATCATCTAGCTTCTTGATTTCTTCTCCTCCTTTCTTCTTCTTGATGATTGTCAGTCGCAAGTCTTCCAGTAAGTCAGTGTCTACAGGACAGGACTTAGTTGCTGGAAAAAGAATCTTTCTATAATCCTTGTGGTGACGTATCAGTTCTCTCTTGTGAACATCTACTTCCCAGTAGTCAACCACAGGATATGCATGTTCAGCTACATCTTCATCACTATTGTGATCAACAGAAATATGACCATATTCATAGTGAGTGAAGTGAGAGTAAAAACTCTTCTCGCGCCGAGTCTGCAAATTCACGTCAGACAGATACCATGCAATATCTTGGAAGTCCAAGACAAGATGAGTACTGGCTGCAACCGTCAACTCCAAATATTTGATACCAAGAGGCACCGATGTCAGATAAGCATGTTGAGGTGTCAGCCTGAGTTCAAAGCCTAAGTTCCTCATCTGTGGCAAGCTCATAAGCAAAGGGACTTCTCCTTCTTCCACTATGTCGAACTCTGTATGGTGGATCGTCCATGCACGATCATACATGTAGATCACCAGTTTCTGAGAGCAAGTAGCCTTCTGGGAATTGGCAAAGTAAAACTTGCTCTTGGTAGCCTCAAAAGAGTACCATAATCCACAATCCGGGTGATTGTCGACATAGTTGCAAAAATGGTCGACTGCTCGCCTTGATCCCATAGCTCTAGTGCATCCAATGTCCAGGATTGCAATAATCGGCGGGAAGCGATTCTCAGTCAAAAATGAAATGGCCTGCATCTCCTTCACTTCTTCCTCAGCGCTCATAAGCGCAAAGCCATCAGGAGCCTTTGTGAGCATCTCCTTTGACAAAGAGTACCTCACAGGGGCACTCATGCCATTGAAGATCGTCTCACCATTGTTGACCGCGCAGTCAGCTTCATCTTGACATGAGGTCATCATGCCTGACAGCAAGTTCACCTCGCTGTCATGGACTTCAGCTGCTGCTGTCACACAATGTGCAAAGAAACCTTGTTGACCTCCTGATGCTTGTGAAGATCTTGAAGGTGCAGGCAAAGAACGTGGCTGTTGTTGATTTGCATAGTTTGCATCTTGTTTGCCATCTCCTTTATCTTTTCCTTTTCCTTTCTTGCCTTTTCTCTTGCCTTTTCCTTTTCCTTTGTGGGAAAACCATGCTTCTTCAAGCTGTTGCCAAAAGTCATTGGCATCATCATATTCTCCTTGAAGATAGTCATTCATATCTTCGGCAAGAATGGCATCATATGCTACTTGGTTTGACTCCCAAGTGTCCTCATAAGGATTCTCTTCAAAATACTCATCTGGATAAGTTGTCTGTTGCTCATCAGCAAAATGGCCTTTACCTCGTCTCTTTCCTTTTCCTTTTCCACGAGGTCTGAAGAATCTGCGGCCTGATCTTCCTTTACCTTTTCCTTTTCTTCTTCCTTTTCCTTTGCCTTTTCTGGCTCTTCTTCCTTGGAATCTCCTTTGGAACCACGAGAAGTTTTGATCATCAGATACCCAAAAGACATCGTCCAGGGCATCTAAAAATCCTTCTGTTCCATCTTCTTCATCTTCGGCCCAATAGCCAAATGTACCATCGAGTTCTCCTTCTTCCATCACGAGGAATGATCTTCTACCTCCAGCACCTGTCGGCTGCATCAAAGGATTGTCTACTGAAGTCTTTGTCGTGCAGAACATCTCAATGAAAACTGTCCTCAGCTCTGTTGTAGTGTATTGCCGCAGGACCCTGCCACGATGAGTCATCAAAGAAGTCAAAGTGTTTCGCTGGTCCTGAGACAAATCTGCAAGTGACAGCATGAGTAAGGCAATGAGATTTTCTCCTAGAGGAAATTCGTTCTGATGAAAAGTCCTCATATTGCCATTGATGGTCTGCATGATTTCCTGAATCCTTTCTGCCGTTGGTGCTACTCCAGTCAACGCTGCATCTGCCTGCATCTGAGCTAGGACCTGTGGATGTGCTTGAGTGACTGGTTCTAACATGTCCATCCAACTGCTCATAAGCCTTTGGAGTAAAATCTGGAATCTTGTCATCCATTTCATCATGTCAGCTGATCCTCGATTGAAGCGCACGAATTGCATAAATCTATACAGGAATACATTGGTTGATCCTTTCACGAAATATGGTCGTAGTACTCGTTTGAAATATTCTACGCCGGCTCCTGGTGGATCATTTGCCTTCAATGCATCTCTGTCTAAAACACGCTTGTATACAGCTGCTTCTCCTTCTAATCTGTTTCTCAATGCTGGTCCTCTCTTCTCATCTTCCAGCTCGGTGATATCACACCAATCGTCTATGGCATCCTCATAGGAAAACCATGAAGTCTTTCCATCATAAGATGGGGGCACCTTTGTAGTGACCTGTGTTGTCATTGCTATTGCTGCTGGTTCTCTTCTCACATGCCTATTCACGTAGGCTGCTGGCTCATAAGCCACATCCGCATCAGGCTCTTCCCAGTCGTCTATCCAATCCATGGCTGTTTGCCCACTAGCAAGTCTATGCCTAGGAAAGGAGCTCACCTGGGTCTTCCAGGATCACTGCTCCGCTAACACTGAAAGAGTGACTAGGGCGTACACGGTAGAGGTGCAGACCGCTAGTGTCTTTTATGCGCAGAGTCTTATCCTCTTGCTCTTTGAGCCTTGAAGCAGTCAAGTATGGACACACTATATCGGCTGTTGGAGTGGAACCCTGTACAGGTAGGCTCTACTTTTCAGGGGGGGGGTTTCGTGCAGGAGGGCACCCCTGGGCGGGTGGTGTCCCGGTGTCTCGGTGATCTTTCGTGTCTCGGTGATCTTTCGTGTCTTGGTCAGATTTTGCTGGTGCTTGGGGAGTCATTGACTCTTCAGCCACGCGAGCCACCGCGCCCGATCCCAAACAGGCGACCGACCGACAGTCGCACCGGGTCGCACCGGGCACCCCGCACCACGGTCGCGGTCGCCGCGTGCAGGTGACCGACTGCGTGGCGAGCGGGTTGCCCTCGAACACCGCCGCTGGGCGCGATCGGAGTGACCCGGGAGACCCAGACTCGCTCCAAAGTGATGGGAGAGGCTTTCGGGACTCGCATACTTTTGGGTGTTTTGAAGACGAGGTGTTTTTTTTGGAACAGTTTGGTTTGAAGCCCTTCTAAAAATCTAGGCGCAACCTGTATAGGGAAGCAGAGTATGTTGAATGCTGGAATGTTTGTTCCCTGCCCAGTTAATCATTGAATTTTAGACACCGTGGACCCACAGATGAAGTGGAAAAGGTTGTTTCGCTTCTCCTGAGAAACCCAAGGGGTCAGATGTTCACCAAAAGATACTCACCATTGACTAGACTTTTGGGGATAAGTTCAAGTCACAATCAGTTGGTGAATGTCGGATCTTTGCATCCATTTTTCTACTTGCTCCCAGGATCTCCAAGAAGGTTGAGTTTTTGTGGCAAGGATCTTCATGATGAAGCATGTTCTAAAAAACCAGAGACCTCCTCGGAATTTCATCCCATTTCTCTCCGTGGGTCCCAATCATGTTGTCCCTCCCAGGCTCATCACTTTCGGGTCCGCGAAGTCTGCGACGACGTGGGCACGTGGGGCTACACCGCTGCAGCAGTCGGGGGGTCCAAGGACGGGTGATGGAAAGGGAGTCCTCCTGAAACATCTCCCGAAGTGCTCGACCTAAAACAGCCGGCGCGTAGGGTTTGTTGTTTTTTTTTGGTTGGGGGTGAGTGTTTTTCTTCATGTTTGCGCAGGTCTTTGGATCTATTGCTTGAAGGGAGGATTTTCGTTTACAAAGAACGGACACCGGAAACCAAAGGATCGCAAGGCTACCCCTGAGGGAGGAAAACAAGCCGCCTAAATCGCAGATGCGCAGCTTGTTGGGGATCCTGGAGCATGCTTTGGGATAGAATGAATTTTGAATGAATCTGATGAATCTTTGCCTTTGGCCAAGACTTTCCAACGTAATCCATCAGACCAGCAAGCAATAGCATATCCTCGAACCTGCAGTAGGTCAGCATTGGCGGAAACCATGTCAAACCCAGGTTCTCATTGCATCCATCCGAACACTCCCACGTTCTCATTGGCTACGGAACATGGCCCAAAGTTCGGATGGCAGTTCTCTGAATAGGTGGTGAACTCCACATGACCATGACTATGTGACACTCCCGAAAACGGAAGTGGATGGCACCACCTGTTTGTAGTGGATTTCATGGTCTTCCACTTACGGGGCCATTCTCCACTTCCATGTTAGTTCCAGGGAGTGTATACCCTCTAGATTAGGAGGATTGCTTCATCTTTGGCGTCTTCTTCGGGGGTGGACTGTGTTCGGGGAGAGTACCACTGACACGTCGCCCCCATGCCTGATGCCGTCGGTTGATCCTGGATGTCAGGCTTCGGCCCACAGTACTAGTACCGGTAATTAGGGGTAATGATAGATGGTTCTATACTGGCACCATGATTCCCCAATTACCATCTATAACATGGAGTAACATGGAGTATCGGTATACCATGACCGGAGTCTATTCGGCACCACATGTTCAAATAGTCAGCACGAACTCCATGATCCCCGGTGGCCAGGTCAGTACGGCTCCGGTAGCTGCCGCCCCAATGGTGGTCCAGGCAAGGCTCGGAGGTTGAAATGAATCGGTGGGGCCGAGCCAGTGAAGGTTCGGAGGCCAAGTTGCGAAAAGAAGAGTCAAACACCCTTCAGTTCACAGGGTCCAAGGATGCTTAGGGCTTAGGGTAACTTTTTTTGCAGGTTATAAACACTACCTGGACCCTCCAAGGGGTGTCTATCTATAGCCCCTTAGCCGTTAAGGGGTGTCCATTCACCACCCCTTGAAGGCCCTGGTAGTTGATTTTATTAACACCCCCCTCCACCAGACTTGGCCGGATCGTAAAACCTCTACCCAAATTTTTGGCTGGGTTTTGTGCTCTCATCGCGAGTCGATCTACATGATAGCCCAGATAGTCCATTGGGTTGAAATCTGCATATTTACTTACATTCATCCCTGAAACAACCACCCCTGGCCTTTTCTCGGCAAATCTGGCAGTCCCAGACAGGTCGTGTTTGGGTAAGGATTTCTTCGGTCTTCTTCAAGGTGATCTTTTTGGTACCCGGTCCAACAGGACACCGTTTCAGAGTGCTCAACACAACACCGTGCAATCCGACGGATACGGTCCGAGGCTTTTTCTGCTTCTTTGATGCTTGGCTCGGCCTCCAAAGGTGTCTTCATCCGCCCAAAGGCCATACAGAACTCCCACAGATAGGGCTATAGTCGAGGCCCTATGGATAGGCCTATGGATAGGGTAACCCCTTAGCATCCATGATGCTCCCTATGCGTTGCTGCCAAGCAGCGGACCTGACGACGCGTCGTTCCCGTCGAGGTGTCGACGTGCGACACGTCTCCGATCTTCTCCAGGCCTCCTCGCCCCAAGTCTCCCAGATGCTGGTGCAGTGGAGTTCCCCCGAGCTGAATGACGCTTGCACAACCACCGGTATAGACGGAGTGAACGGGATGGTGCAAAGGGGTAGACGACACACGAGCGAAGTATCCGGGAGAAGTGGAAAACATCGAGATAGATCTAGAGTTCTTGTCCCATTAATTACCTGTAAAAGGCGGTAAACAAGCACATCATCCATTGTTATTGGTAATGGGATAGATTATTTTATAATGTTTGGTTGATTCAATTATATCCCTACGGGTTAGTTTGTGGTCATACAAGAACAATCAAGAACATAACTCAACGAGGTTATTTTAAGATCAGTCTTGGACCTGGGTCAGACTGGACTTGTGGGATTCATGTAGGTGTTATCCAGGTGTTCTACACCTGGATAGAGAGGGTCATCTTTCAAGGATTCTCGGAACAAACATCTGCGACGTCTGCACAGTCATCCATTTCTCTACCAGGACCCACGCGCGGAGTTGGGTGGTTGATGGACACCCCTTATATAACCTCTGTTCGGGGCTATCATCCGGGTGTCTTGGTGCGATCTGCTCGGCCGCTCGGCGTCCAACGAGGGCAACTACCGTAGGCGGTAGGCGAGCGGTAGGGGTCGGTGTGGGCGGATCTGCTGGAGATCAGGTGCTGGAGATGAACAGATTGGGGGAATCCATGGGAATCCTGGAATCCAGGTCTGAAGAATGTCAAAGGTCTGAAAAGGTGGATGACCTCTGTACATCTCACGATGTTCTGAGCTTGGAGGAGTCGCCGAGTGGTTACAGTTGTCCCAAACCACTGAACCAACTCTTTTTGTCCATTTTCCACAGATCGCAGGTGGCAAAGGATCGTATGAAGGACTCTTTTTCTTTACAAACCTATGGTGGTTCTCAGGTCTCGAAACCAGGGCGAAAGTTGAACATGGCGTCCAATCCGCAGGTCGCTCCGCGCCTGGCTGAGGATTGCCTTTTCAGTCGCTTCAAGCTCCAATGGTCTGTGGACAGCAGCAGTTGGCAAGAGGTGGCATGCGGAGCCAGTAACTTTTGCCGCTTGTCAAAGGGACATGGATTTCGACTGGAGCTTTTGGTAAGACACTGACAGCCAAGTGCCACTCCTTCTTGCGCTTGAAAATGATAGGTGGCACTTGGCTTTTAAGCCCAAACTTGACCAACTCACTTCCACATTGCGACCCTGAGTGGTTGTTTGTCCCCCCTATGTTTCCTTCTCTGCTACTTTACATGGCCGTGGTTGTTCCATGGCCATGTAGGGCCGAGGAGCAGGCTTGAGTCTATTTCACTTTTGCAAAGGCACATGAGGTTTTACCATCGATCTCTGGTTCTTTTTCATCGTTCGATTCTACATGAGCATCCCCAATCCCCAATCCTTCGATCCACCCCGCTTCGCGGGGTTTGTCGACACGTTTTTTCCTGGAGGGGACGACTTGCAGGGACAGCACTCGAGTTCGAGAGTGCGTGGCACCGGTCAATGCCCTGTGGAACCCAAGGAGTCATGCCAACCAGACAGCTTAGGCACCTGGGCTGGACAGGGTTCTGAACACGACAGATGATAGATGTGTTCTTTTTTGTTGTTCCAGCCATGGGTGATTCACCAGGGTTGAGAACACCAATTGGGTTTTAATATGTTTTGACCACACCTGGTCCAGTACAACACACCACGCTGGGCTGGGTGGTTTCTCTCTTCTCCTTTCTTTCATCTGCTGTCTCCCAAACCACGCCCCTGTTATTCTTACCTGGGAGCCAAGCCCAAGCCAAGCAAAGATCAGCTCAAAAAGGCTCAAGTAGCCCAAGCACTTCGACGGAGCTGGTGCCCCAAAAGGACAATCCATCCCTTCGCCCAAAATGGTTGTTCCAATGGCGAAAGGAACAACCGCGAAACCGCCGGTTTGGCCCCCCAGGCGATAGCAGCTGCAGTGCTCAGTCGCTCCCCTCGAACACCGCGGTGACCTTCCGGGGCAGGACGATCTGCACGGAGGAGGCCGGGTGGGAGCTCGAAGGTTCGAGGACGCCGTGGATGAGAAGGAGCATTCGCTGGGCATGAAAAGGATCTCAGAGAAGATCGCCAAGTGGAGGACTTCGGGTACTTGGGTATACCTTGTTTTATAGAAACCTCCTCTTTCGCACGTGGTCTTAAGTGGCAATACTATCATTTGGGTACCTTTGCATGGCATCATAGTGGTATGCAAGATCCTCCAAGCTTTGAAAGGCTTCCCTGAAGCGATGAAAACGAGGTTTCCCCACGCCGACCGGTCCATTCCCCCCCGAGCGAGCCAGACGAGACGGTCATCGGCCAGGCCTTGAACGGCGAGTGGAGCAACTCTTCAGTGCCTGTGTCGACCTTGCCAAGGCGCACGGCACGGAGAAGGGGTCGGAGAAGGAAGGAAGAAGGAGAGAAGGAGAGAGAGAGCGGTGCATCACGGATGATGGGATGTTTTTTTTTTTTTTTTTTTTCAGGGGTGTGAGTGATGTTTCTTGAGAAGAAACCATGGGCGAGTGAGGAGTGAGTGGGAGTTCCCTGAGAGTCACTTGCAACGGCCCTTGGTGCAGTAGCAGTAGCGGATATCTAAGAGTAGAACTGGGTGTCCAATGAACTACCCTGCACTACTATCCGGGATCTCCATTGGACACCCTTTGGATGGTCCAGGTATATATAAGAAGGAGTATAAGAAGGACTAATTTAGGAAAAACCTGATGATCTGTGTCTGCTTAGCTGTCCTTGCCCCCATGTCGACCAATGCAAGCAGCCACGAACACTGGTTGGCCATGGCAGGAATTCTTCCCCATGATATGATACCGGGTTCCGGTATGGCAAAGGGGAAGTAGATGGACATATTGAATCTGAACAGTTCACTTGTCTCCCCATCTCGAGACCGTGTGGTAAAATCAGGTAAAGGCAAAAGGCAGTTCCCCCATGAAAAGTGATGATAGTGATGAGGGAGCAGCCACCCCTGCTTTCTTTTTCAGGGGCAAGCTTTTGTCATGTGAGTCAGTCATGCAAGTTGTTGGTCGGTTGACAGTCTTCAGTCCATGACACTGTCAGCCACTCTTGGTTTAAGGCTCATATACCATTAGACCATTTACGTGGGACCATTACCTTGGTTTTAGGATGGTTCATACCATCCGGATCCATCCGGATTCCCCATCCTATCAGCGGGTCAACCGTTGGGGACATTGCGGGACACCGAAATCTCAAGTCCAACCGGGGGACAGTGGACAGTTCGAACCTCTACCTGCTTCCGTTCGGGGTCGCCTGGCTGGATATCTCCAATACTTACAGGTCTCCAGACAGGGCACCCCGACTTGAAAGCGCTCTATAGGTATTTTCTTTCATGATGTTTTGTTCCACCCATCCTCCGGCGCCCTCACTCCTCCCTCCCGAGCACCGGAGCACCGGCCCCAGACCCTCCGAGCCGCTGGTGGTCCACGTGAACGTCTGGAGCTATGACGCCGCGGAGCTCTCGTGGTCGAGGCGAACGGGCGATTCGCGACGTGCCCCGCAATCGAAGTCCCCCCCCCGATCGACGAAGAGGAAAGCGAGTCTATCCAGTAGAGTCCTGGTGTTGCTGAAAGTGTTTTGTTTGGTTCATTTTCCCTGTGGTTAAATCCCCACATCTGGTGAATACATGTGAATATGGCATATGTACATTGTTTTTCCAAGTTCCTTAATTAAGCAAGTCCAAGTAGTAGATCTTGCACAGCTATAGTGATTAGTATACAGTATAATCATGTTCCATACATACTTTACTATACTGGAGCATTATTAGTATTCTACTATGGCTGTAGTCATGCTCCGTGCAGTAGATAATGGCAGTCCGGGCGTCCAGTCCGGAGCCTGACGGATTTCGCCCTCGGAGAGTCTGGGAGTTCCCTGAGCGTAGGGCCCTATCGGGAGGATGCAGACCAGGAAGATAGAGAAAGCCGAGAATGGACCAGACACCGACCCTGAAAGCCCTGAAGGCATTTAGCTTGGTGCTCATGCAAGTGCATGCAGCGACTTGAGTTGGATCTTGGGAACACATGGGGTCCGTTGGCATAGTTGCAGCGACCTTCGGAGTGCGGAGGCCTGATCATGTGGGTCAAGACCAGACCTTGGTCGACCCACCTGTATGGTCAAGCTACATGGTGGACCAGGGCTCCGGGCTTTGACGTATCCCCATATCACTAGCCTAATTTACTGTGTTGTTGGATTTGTGTGTAGAGAACGTAAGTATATGGGTCCCTTTCGATAGGGTCTCCCTGATGACTATGAATGCACCGCCGCATCAACTCGACCAGAACTTCTATCCAGACCTGGCCTTTATGCCCTTCATCCCAAAGGTCCTGTTGTTCGGGTCTTGCTATGAGTTTTTTGCGAGGACCCCGTTCGGGCCAAGGGCCAGGGGAGGGGCCAGGCAAGCAGGTAGTTCAAGTGATTCTGTTGGGTGCCAGGCCAGTGCTGAACGATTGTATCCTGCAGGGCTGGCAGGTCGGGCAGGGTGGTCGTTACGGGGGTCGTTACGGGTCGTTTTCTCCCGGTTCTCCCGGCTGGACATATTCTTCTTACCTGACCCTGACTTCTGGCCAATCCATCCCAAGTGGTGGTTACTGTTGGGGGTTGGCCAGGTTGGCCGGGTTGGCCCGGTTTGGAGTCTGTTTAGGATTGGGAAAAAGAGTTCGGTTTGGGGGCCAGTGTTCAGGAACGAGGGTTAAACTCCTCCAGCAAGCCGTATGACAGGCACGAGGTGTTTAGGGCTGACACGCCGCAGACCAGGTTTGAGGGACATGTGATTAAGCATGAGAGACTCACATGTTATTTTCTTCAATGTGTACCTACAAACAACAGCAATGCCTACAAACAGGCCCAAAAACCACCAACAACATGGTCCATGCATTTTTATGCCTCTTCAATCCTCTTCATTTTTCATGTTCACATCGCAACAATCAAAACCTATCCCCCCACAAAAAATCTTTAGGTTTCTATTTGACTCGTGCTTTACCGTGCTGTTTTCACCCCCAAAACATACCAACTCGTCTTCCCCGTCTTCCGACCGGTGTCTCGTCTTCCTCGTCCTCCGCCCTCCGACTCGTCGCGTTGCACGCGTGGGCAGGTGGAATTGCTGGACTCGAACCTCTGGACCTCCGGGCCGGGCTGCCAGGGCTTGACGGCCGACGCCACAGGCGAGACGTGGTGGAGACGTGGTGGTGATCGTGGTTGGGCGTGGTTGGGCCGCGCGAAGCGGTGATTCGGTGATTCGAGGAACCGGTGGAAAAGCGGTTCAGCATCTCAGCATCGAGACGCCGCTGGGGAGGTGTTTTCTCATGATGAAAGAATATGAACGATGTGATAGATGTGGTTGTTCGCTGTGACTGTTTAACTTGATGCGGGTTGAAGCAGTGTGATGACAAAGCCTCCCTGATGTCATGAGTCAGGTCGGACAGCGGGGCAGCGGGGCAGCGGGGCATCGTGAGTCGACACCCTCGAAAAAAGCACCATGTATTCTTAGAACCCGGACATGACCCCTGTTTTGATAGGAAACGACCATATGTTGCGTGCTTGGGGATCCAAAATCAAGATTATAGAATAAACCCTAGGGCTCCAAATACCTTCTGAGAAGGTGTTTGGGGTGGGTTTAGAGTGTCCAGTCATACCTTCTGAGGAGGTACGACTGGAGCCCTAGGGAAAGCAATGATTCATCCGCTGCATCCAGGATGACCCCGGTCTCCAGGTCCGGAAGCTCTCGGAAAAACCACCGAACTCCTTCACCCTCGAACCTCATGGACGCTTCCAAGTGCCCAACGCCTTCACAACCGACACACCGCCCGAAACCGCCCGAAACCGTCCGTCCCCCGTCCGCCGGTTTCAGCCCAAACCACGACGGCCGGACGGCCGGTCCTTCGGCCGGGGTGGCCGTTGGCAGGTTGCAACCTCACGAACCTCGCCTGTGACTCCGACTTCCAGGCCCTGCGCGGCGCGTCACGCGGCAGCTGCGGCGCCGGAACGCGCGGCGCGCTGGTGGAGTCTCTCTTCAGTGGTCGAAGGAAACTGGTCCTGGAACCGGTTGAGACCGTGGATCGCGGTGGTGAAATCGGATGGAGTGGTACGTGGTGACACTTTTGGATAGCTTGGGCTTTTTGGGACTTCATGGACGAGTCCGTGAAAGCAAATTGGAAGGCTTTAAAAGTGTGCTGAATTTCTCGTGGATGGTGTGGAACAGAGATTGGACAGTGCTGCGTGTCTGTGTCAGGATGAAGTTCCACGGTTTCAATCCCAGTTTCATGGAAGACCCATTCAACTTGACACGTCCCTTCCTATTCCTTCTTTTTTCGTTGAAGGTCCGGTCCCAGAAAACATTCAGCGGTTTCACGGTTTCACCTGACTGAACTCCAACTTCCTGTCTTCCTGCCACGACTCCACGACCTGGCTGGGTGCCTTCGCTCGCCGCGCCTCGCCCGCCGCGCGTTCAGGCGCGCGTCTCCACGCGGTGCCACAGCGCCTTGGCCGACGCAGAGCCTCGCAGCGTGTCCTTCCGGACGGCGGCAGGCGCCGAGGGCCGAGCGGGGTGGGGGTGAACGTGCAGGTAGCTGGAGGGGCGTAAAAGATGGGTCTGAGTAGTTATGCAGGTGAGACACCTGAGAATCAGAAGAGTTAAGAATGATGGCATTGAATTGGATTGAAGTGAGAGGGCAACAAGACATATCATGAGACACAAAGGCTGTGGTTGCAATTATTTCTTCTTTTGGTCCTGTCTGAAGATTATTTTGGTGGTTCGGTGGTTACTCAGGTGGTTACTCACAGGTTGTAGACAAAGCCTCCATGTTTACTGACTACTAGTAGTCAGAATCATGTCCAGAAAGGGATTCCTACAGCATCCTACAAGTAAAAAGACCTGGAAAAGGGCAGCTTGTCCAATCGGTAGTGGACAGGGTAGTGTAAGTGTAAATGAAAGGGTTGCGAGTCCTAGGCAGATAAAGTCGAGTTCCGAAACTGCGCAGGGTTCCGCAACTAGGATTCCGCAACTATTTGGTCGGATTCCGCAACTGGGATTCCGCAACTAGGATTCCGCAACATTGTGGATTCCCTCACTAGGATTCCGCAACTTTGTGAAAGATGAGGGGGTTGGCATGATGTCGAGATCACACGATGGGGGCAAGGGGGTTGGTTGGGGGGGTTGGGTGGGGGGCGAATGACGTTGGTTTGGATGTGCTTCGAAGATGATGTCACAGGCACACATGCTATCGGATGATGTGGACATCACCAGTTGCAGATTCAGAATGCCAGTTGCAGAATCTGACTTTCCAGTTTCAGAATCCAAGTTTCAGAACCCCAGTTTCAATTCAGAATGCCAGTTTCAGAATCCACGTTTCAGAACCCTAGTTTCAGAACCCCAGTTTCAGAATCCGACCGATTAGTTTCCGAATCCCGCTCTAACCAGTCGTAGGCCACCAAGGGACTTCCAGCTGTTTTCCTGAGCTGTAACGATTGTAACGTAACGTATACATAGACCAAAATAAGTGCCAAAATAGATAGAACAGTAGATCCCCACGTGATATCACTATAGATATAAATATATGAATGTCTTGGACAGCGTGCCACTATGTATTTGGGATGTTTCTATCTATTGCGTAGGCGTGTGTTTTGGAGGATCAGCGAGACCGTCCCCTTCAGGGCCTGAAGCGCCGTCGACGAGGGGTTGAGAAAGCGGAACCCACCGGTCTTTTCCACAACTGGAAGAGGGTTGAAGCTAGTTCTGCACTCTCTGGAACAAAGCAGTTTGGAAATGAAACAAGGTCATGTCTCCTATAAAGAGGCTTGCTAAGTTGGAGGGTGCTGGTATAGCAAGAAAAACATGGTCATGTCATGTAAGGTGTTGGACTGCTTGCGGGGGAACCTTTTATTCCGTCCGTTCTCTTTGAGTTGACCAGGTGCTGAATGCCTCAAACGCGCTGGCGCGCCCCTGGGCGTGCTCTTGTTGGCCACGTCCGTCAGCAGTGCCACCCTCACCTGGGAGGTGCAGTCGTCCATCGTTCACGACGGTTCCGAACGAAGGGGTGCGAACGTAGGACGAGGCGTAGGACGAGGCTGGATCCATTTCCTGAATCGAGCCATGAATCTCCGGACCATGGGGGGGGGCGAAGCTGTCCCTCCTTTCCTACGATGGTCGCACCAGTCAGTGCCTTCTCCGTTCTTTTGGCGTGGCGAAGCGAGGAGGGGTAAAGGCCCGGCTTGAGGCAGCGTGGTTTGGCAAAGCCTCCTGAACCCTGGCAACTGCAGCGTGGGCGCAGCATGTCTCTCCAAGAAGGGAACTGGTTGAACCCAGGAGCCACGAGAGCACGACTTCTAAGGCATTCTGGGAGTGAAAAACCGTTCAGAATCATTTGAGTCTTCGTTTTGTAGGACTCCTTGGAACTGGTGCGCTGGAGAAAAGTTGGCAACAAGCATCACGATCAGATTGAGACCCGCCTACCTGACGTCGAGATTGAGACCTGCCGACCTGACGTCGTGGACCACAGAGGTTGAGGTTGAAACCATGTACGTTTGAGGTTCCTTTGTCGAAACCAACATTTACATGACATGATTCATGGATGTCATCTCTTCAAACGAATGGCAGGTGAACATGTTCAGGTATCTTGGTCGCGATCTGAACTTGTAGATCGATGGGTACCTTTCTCCTTGTACTTGTCCTTCCTTTTTCTCCGACCTCCCAAGGAAATCAGCAGGTCAACCACAACACCTCCAGTCGTACCCCCTTCGGGTTCGGTATGACACCACAGTCCCACCCTCCTCAGAAGGTACGACTGGAGGCCTAGGGAACACCTGTCAACACAAAGCCCCTCTTCTTGGCGCCACCGGCGCCAGGCGGGCTCGCCGAACGCCGGGGCACCCAGACGGGAGCGTCGCGGGGGCGGATTGGGGTGCCCAGACGTGACGAAGCTGTTCTTTCTCTACGGACGAAGGCGCCAAGAGGGGCAGAAATTTTTGGAGCGCCACTGCGGGCCTTTGGGCGTTTGGGCAAGACCCTAAATTCTGGTAGATCCATCTCTTCACCATTACTTCTTGGCCTAGTAGTTTGTAACTCTTCAACAATCTCGATCCCTGAAGAGATGCTCTGCACTGGAACATCAGAAATTCCAGGGGAGAGTTTTCACCGCTCACGTTGGGATGACGGTGCCAAGACCATTGGACGTTTCAGAGAGCTGTTTGGCGAGAGAACACGTGGGCCTCCCAAGGACGAAGGCCCACACCTACCTCGCTCGAAGGGAACAGGTCCTTTGCCCAGACTCCCAGACATGTCACATCCCGGGTGGCTTGAGGGATCAATGTATAGGCATGTTATGTACTGTAGTATGTCTGTAAAATTCCACACCATGGAGTGTGGACTGGGCAATCTTTGAGACCGGCGTATGAGATCTGGGACCACCTCTGGGGAGCGGGAGCCTTTCGTGCGAAGTGGCAGCGCTCCGAAGCCTGCGCTCAGAGGGCGGCGCTCCATGCAGTGGACGTTCCCAATGACCCCATCAATGCCTTTGCCATCCTTTGCCTTTCACTTGAGCTGGTCTTCGCTGTGGATTCACGACGCTTCACGAGGAGGAGGAGGAAGCCTCGCATTTGTCCGATGGGCCTCCATTGGGGAGACGACTGAGACGACCGAGACGCACGCTTCGATCTGCGCGGGATCGGGGCAGTTCGTTCCTGTGATGCTTTCAGAGCTCGTGGAATGAAGCTCCAATTGCCTGAGGAGGACAGCAAACATCGACTCCATGGATCAAGAAGGTATCCTATGTGATCCTGAGGAGGTGGCCCCACTGGGATGGGGAGAAGGCACGAGCAAAGCTTCAGGTTTAGCGAAGGCAGATGATTCAGCCACCTCCATGGTTTTTCCACTTCCTGTATACGGGAAGGATCAGACTGCATCGTCCACTTAGGTCATGTGCGCGGATACTACCAACCCCTCCTGCAAAAATGCATACGACTGGAACTCTTCTTCCGTCCTCATCATCTTGCCTTTTGCTCAGGGCGATGTTTCGTTTTCCCTATGGGTGAATCCCCAATCCATCCGGGTGCGTTCGTCCACCACGTACGTGTCCACGTCGTCCACGTATATACACTTCACCGCTGTGGATCCGGCGACGTCAGGACTGCACCTTTGCCTCCTGGGCGGTACAGCTTTCGCCCACCGAGCCGGGACCGAGCTTCAGCTGCGCCAGCTCTCTGCGGGACCGAGAAGCGGAACGGCCAACGCGGAAGCGGGCCACCGGCGGAACCGTACCGGTGGCGTGTGGCGACCGAGCGGGCGTGCGAAACCGCAAACGCGTGGTGTCGGCTCGTGGTGGATGTGCTGGGAACCTAACAACCATAGTTTTACTAAGGATTTGACGCTTGGAACTAAATGTGCCTTGGAGTGTGTCCTAGGTGTGAGGGTGGGAACGCGGTTAGCTGCTAGCCCTACGACTGAAGAATTCAGATCTCACGGACCTTTGGCAACGTCTCTCAGTGAAACCACCAGATGTGATAGTTTGCCAGGTGAACTGTTCTCCCACCAGGTGACTGTGCTGTGTCCACTGTGGTGCCTTCCGTAGGATCTCCAATGCCAGTGTCGTTGCAGTAGGATCACTGCAACGCAGATGGTCGTGCAGTCGTACAAATCATGAGGCACGCGTATCATTTCCCCATAGCATGCAAACCCCTCGATGGACTGGGGAGTGAATTTGCAACTCTTGGTCATTGGCTTCATCTGCGTATAGCCTGAGGGAAGATTGTTGCTCTATAGGAGGGTAATGTAGAATATTGATTAACACCGGGCTTGTGATGGTTTATGAATCAAGAGGCAGTGTACTTTATATAAACATATTTAATAAGCAAGTGTTATGCCGATTGGCTGAAGGTGGCTGTTCCTGGTGAACATGAAGGTACAAATCGTTGTGCGATGTTCTGAGTGTCTAGGATTTTCTTGCTTTGCTCCAGTGTACCATCAAAATAGCGATTGAACACAGTGAATCCCCTGCACAGGTTTCGACAAACATGCCCCCTGACCCTCTAAGATCTCATTTCTGTCTTCTTCGACACCCCAGGGGTAATCATTCTGCCTTCATTCGCTTCAACACGCCCGGTCTCCCAGCAGGACTCCACGAGTTGCATCTTCTCCGGCTTGGCGGAGAATTCCAGCTACGTGGCCTCCATCCAGGCGCCGGAGTTGCCGCGCGCGTGTCGCTGACTCGCCCTCCGCGACGGCGCGTACAGCGACGCGCTTACGCGGGCGAACCACGCGCCAAAGCCGTGGTGCCCCCTGCGGAGGGTGTGACATGAAGTCGGAGGGTGAACGCCCCGTCAACACGACGGCGCCGTGGGACTGGCGTCATCAGTCTGTGGTTGAAAAGGGGGGGGGTCGATGCCGATGCGAGGTACGACATGGTCGGTGTGGATGTCATGGGTTTTATGTCATGTCACCAGCGGCGTCGTTCGACCGTTTTTTTGTTCATCTCATTTCACCTCCTGCAGCGTTTCATCTCGTGATGGCGTCATCCGCTGGGGTGAGGAGCTGTGCGCTGAGAGCTCCTTAGCCTCCCCGAGTGCGTTGAGTCAAGTGGCCACTACCTTCAGCGCCTTCGTTGGAAGCCAAACGCCGTTCCGGTGAGTCGACGCCACCGGGGTTTTCGGGCGGCGGGCAGGTGGTTCCGGTGATGTTCCGCCGGTGTTCTGGCCTTCTGGGTGGGGGCGGCAGATCACATGTTTGCTTCCTCTTCGTTCGACGGGCCGCAACCCCCCCCCAGTCGCTGTAGTGGCTGGCAGAAGAACCCTTGGGAGTCTCCGCAAAAGTGGCTGGCGACGAGGACTCAGTCCTCGCCGCTTCGCTTCGTCACAGCATGAGTGGGTGAGAGTATAGAGCAGCTCGTGAGAGTCCAGAAAGGAATCTCGAAACTTTGACCATGGAATGATCTACCCCTTAGAGATTCCTCCCCTTTGACCATGGACTCAAAATCTCCAAGAAGGGTCGAACCTGATCCCGGCAAAATACCCCGTGGCCCTACGACGGATTGTTCCGAACTCAGATCGCACGACCATGTGAGTGCTTTTTTTTGCGGAGGTCCCAAACAGTTTTTTGGCTGACGAACCAACAAAAGCCAAGACCAACAGAGGTTGAAGAACCTGAACTAGACTATCCCAGTTGGGTACCCCAGGTAGTTCCGGGTCCTATTTATGGTCACAGAAAACCTCTCTTGGGAAGTTCGAGCTTTTCCCCAAGGCGTGCCGTGGCCCAGCGTGGCGTTGCAACTGCCCTTTCCGGACGAGACGGTGGAGCGGCGGCCGGAAGAGTGCGCCCAGAGTCAGAGCGGGGGTGGAGTGGAAAGGAGGTTGATCGGTTGATGGGTTAGGCGGCCAGTACTAGGTAGATAATAGGTATCGGGAGTGATAGTTCTTAATAGTCTTAATAGTTATTTAAGCTTGAGCTTGTTGATTTGGTGGAGGATTGAGATCTGGAGGCAAATTGAACGAACTGAATCATCCAGCATCAGCAGGAAGATTGGTTTGGGTATTTGCTGGGGATGAAGATTTTATTGTTGGGTGTCTAGCATAGACTGACTCAGTCCCTTTCCAATCCGCAGCTCGGATTGGCAGATATCCGCAGCTCGGATGGGCATGTGTTCTGAAACCACTTTGAGGGATATTTGCCTAGACACTTTGGGTTGTTTATTGACGAACTCAGCTGAGTTCCGGTCCAAAGAGAGACGGTCAGACCGACCTCGAACTCGTGGACTGACTTGCGTGGACGCAAGCGTGGACGCAACCGTGGACTGGTGCCAAGAGGTTGGATGAAAGGTCAGAGCTTCGATGTCCTTTGGTGTCCGGTTCCATATCAACCACCTGAAGCGAATCCATCGAAGCTATTCGAAGCTCTCTGGTGAAACCAGGTGCGCGTATAGACGCGGTAACGGTGAGCCCTGGTGACCTGGGAAGATGAAACCTCATGAAGCAGTAGAACTAAGCAAACAATAGTAGAACAGGGGAGGATGCCGCATCTCCCGCATCTGCCTCAGCCGCTGCCAAGGTGTTTTGGTGTAGGGAACGCACGGCTTGCACTGTTTTTCTATGGAGTGAGGGTGAAGCAGTGAATCTCAGAGCAGTTCCATACTCCCTGGTGACAGCATACGTGTATAGGTGGACTCGAGTCGAAGGCGACTTTTCCCAACCTCTCCCGGCGTGATTCACTTCGGCCAGTTGAGACTTCCTACAGGAAGATCCATTCTCAGACTCCCAGAAAGGGATGTTGTTTGAAGACTGAAAAACAAAGAATCTTCATGATGCTTATATAAGCATCCCTTGGTCTCCGGATCTTGGATTCTGACGAACAAGACGGCTTTCTTGCGTTGAACTCCAGAGTCCAGTGGTCTCATGAACTGGATCCGCAGATGCGGAGTCTTGTGCAACGTTTGGGTTTAGGGGTATGCATTTGTGTATGGAACCTGTTTGTTTCTCCTTCTTGATGGTCATCTATTGGGTGTCTCCCTAGATTTAAATCCTCCCTTTAAGAAAAGACCAACATGTTTCGACGTTTCTAAAAAACAGTACTTTACTTCGAGTGATCCCCAGCATGACATTACAGTCTGACAAAATGTCTGGCATGTATTGAAACATTATTTCGGCATTCTGTCTGGCATATCTTCTAACATTCTTTCTGACATTTTTCTTGCTTGTCTTCTGACATTCTTTCTGCCATCTCTTCTGACATTCATCCTGGCACTCTTCTGACACTCATTCTTTCTGGCATGTCTTGTCACACTCTTTCTGGCACTTTCTGGCACTCCATCTGGCATATCTTCTGAATATCTTCTGACACTCTGCCACCCTACACTTGCGGTTGAGGTCTGGCGGGGCACGCTGCCAGCCGACACTTGCGGTTGACGAGGAGGAGGAGGAGGAGGAGAGGAGGGGAGGAGAGGAGAGGAGCAAGGCACCTGACATAGAATTTGACAACCGTAAACACTTTTTTAACCCGAAGCCACTAACGTACCACAGAGACGAATGGAAGAACCCCTTTGAAGCGAAGCCCCGCACTGGACCTGAGACGAATGGGACACACGGCAGTGCCGATATTGAAGACTCTTGATAAATAAAAGGAAAGCTTCTTTGGAAGCAACCTGTGCATTCCGTGACCCCAAGCTGGCCGGCACACCGAATTTCTCCAAGTGGTGGGGCGCTGCTGCGCTTGAAGCGATCGTTTGTCTCCAAACATCTTGGGCATTTCCTAGAATAATCGTGAAAGTGGGTGGCATGGCTCCAAGAGGATGACCTTTTCCTCTATAAACAGGTGCTTCCATTCACATAACGAGCTATCTTATTTCAGGGAGTGTATCTCAGTTGGAAATTCTGCAGGTGAGATTGTGAAAACCCCCAAAGAAAGTCAGAGAGAGAGGGCGGTGCGCCTTCTTTCCTCTGGCTGAGACCGAGTGAAAGGCTCTGTGTTGGAGAAATCACCACCCCACCTGACTGAATCTTTGATGACCACGTCCATGAAAAGTGAGAATCCCACGACTCTGACCTAGGATTCTGTCAAATACGTAGACCCAGCTTTGGTGAGACACTTCAAATGATTAACCCATACAAAGCCAAGCGAGGAGCATCAGAGTATCAAGCCTTGAAGTCATGCACACAATGGATTCTTGCTGCTGGATTACACCCCTGCATCCACTCCACAGACAAACTTCGATTGGTCGCGCACCTAAGCTCTACTTTCCGATATCCTCTCAGAACGATCCATCCCGGGCAGTGTCTTTGTTCTCCACAGCGGAACAATCAGAGCGGGGCAACTTGCCGCTTTGCACCATGCAGGGAAGCGTAGCAATGCCAGAGACTGCCATTTTCCCATGCGTTGCCAAAATCCAATGAGGCACACAAATCAAAAACACATAGTTGTCACGCCGCCAGCGGCCTGGACCTCAGTGCTAGATTTTCTGGCTTTTGCCGCATAAGCGTGGACGGAGCTGCCATGGTGGCAAGCTGAGCCTCGGCCTGCAAAAGTGGTTCACGGCAACAGGGATGCCGTTTGTCCACCCTGACGGTCAACATTAACATGTTTTCAGCAAAAGCCGCCCCAACCCCAACTAGATGTGATGAGCGTGCCACACGATGCACTAAACGCCCGTTGCAGTGGGTGCTTAGCATCCGGCCATACAAGTTGCCAGCGAGTAATCGACTTTTTAATACTTTTTACTTTGCTTGTTGCGCGCACCTCCTTGGCTAGCCATGCGTGTGACATGTGAGCACAATGATGCCAATGTATCGGCCATGATTATGTCACCCTGAGCACTGCAACGTGGCAGTTGCAGGCTTATGGTGATGTACGACGTGGATGTGGAACTGCCCGTGGTAGGCGCGTGGGCGGCTTGTGGATCCACTGTGGGCATCGATTAGGTGCATCCGGCGCTCCAGTGAAAGCAGCAGGGACGCCAATTCGAAGGAAAAAAACACTATTTCTTGGTGAGCGTACTGGTGCCCCATGGTGCACTTTTGTTCTACATACAGTCACTCCACAAGGTCACTAGGCGCCAGGAACCAATGTCGTCAAACGACGTGGGCTATGGTATCCACATCCTACTATAGGACGATGAAGAGGAACTAAGCCCGACTTTGGAAATTGAAAGTCAATCGGTGAGTGTGGGAGTCTGAATGCTGCCCGTGGTGCGACCCTACTTGCAAGTAAACAACTCATAGAAAACGCAACAACTGTTTGTTCTGGGATAAACTGTGGGCCTACGTTTGCCCATTGACCACTTGAACTTCAAGTCGCCCAAACTTGCCACCATGTTGGTTCAGCTGGTGTGCATGATTGTGAAATCTTTGGATGCAGAATGACAGTAGGCTGCAGCAGGGTGTGTGAGACAAACCTCCCACCTGTTGCGGCTCTGAGGGAATTGTTTTTTTTCAACCACACACTCGCAGACACACAGTGCTTCTAAAGCATGTCAGATTGTGTTTCGCCCACCCGTTTCGGCTCAAAGGAGTTGTCCAGCAGATTCTTTCAGACACCAAGGTTTGGTTTTAGTTCAGAAATGGGTTGCCAACAGTTGTGACATCATTAACAAGCCACAAGTGCAGTGCTACTCGAACAGCATTGTATAATTATATAGTTATATAATTGTTTGATGTTACAGGTTTCCAATAGCACTCTTGCACCTGTTGCATAGGCGTGTAAATTAACCCCGAGAAACAGAAAAGATATCGTTCTTTATTTTTGCACCTGCCTCTTCAAGATGGAGCGGGTGCTGCCATGCACCGTGCGGCCGGACAGGTGTGTGATAAGTGTGGTTTAGCAACATTGAACATCACGCGGCTAGTCAGTTGCAAGTGTCAACTAATATTCCTACATTGGGGTGGCTGTAGGGGTCAAGGTAGACAAAATTCATTACATGTGGAATGTGGATGTTGGCTTATTCTTCGGAAATGGTTCATTCAAGGATAGCATTCCCAGGAGAGATATTTTTGGGATGGCAACATTTGTGTTTGACTGGGGATGGATGGGGCGGGGGCGACACAGTTACTGACCCCCCGAAACTTGGGACAGATTTCTTCCAAGTCACCAAACCATGTGACAGATCTCCCATAGTATCAACCATGGTATCAACATAGTGTCCAAACTCATAATATCAACCAGATCCATTAGATCAGACTTCCATCAATCTTGTTGACTGTTCCAATCATGTCCCACACCCAGACCATAGAAAAACCCCCACCCCGAAATGGACAGAGACGGCCAAGTTACGAACGCCGCACATTTTCGAGACTCCGGGCTGACAAATGGATCAATCTAATAAGCACCCCGCCGAAGATTAACATGGAACCTGAGAATGGACCTTTGGAAGACTACTTCCTTTAACACCGAATGGTTTTGAGGTTCCATGTGGGTCTCTTCCAGGGTGTACCCCCCCTCCCCCCAAAAAAGAAAGAGATACCTAGCACTTCCTGTCGGGGTGCCCTGTCTGGAGACCTGTAGGGTTGTCCATTGGTGATGGTCCATTGGTGACCCCGAACGGAAGCTGTATAAGAACACATTTGGAACAAATCAATTGAACATTTCCTTCTGTTTCCGTCCAATTGGTCCTCCAACAGGAGAAGAGAAACACGGAATTTCTCCAGAACTATTCAGATAGTCTCTGTGAGAGGATTTTGGACTGAAAGCCAAAGCATCCCACCATCCAACTGGAACTGATGGATCTGATGGGCTGTCCATGCTTCAAACAGCTGGGATTTTGAGGTTCAGGAGCTTCATCCTCATCCTTCACCAGCACCGCGATCATATCGGCCGGTCCATCCCCACATTTATCCTCACGGGTGCAGGGCTTCAGAGCTGATGACGCTTGCGCGGGAGCAGCATGGAGGTGCAGAGACTGACATAGGGATTCGTCACCCCCCCCTTCACGACCGAGGGGCCTGGCTCCGGATCAGGCCGTGGTTGAAAAGGGGCGAATGTAGATCAGCGAATTCCTTACAAAGGAGTGTGTGGGGCCCAAGGATGTGATTTCGCATGCTTGGTGGCTCCCTGAAACATGTTTGAGCTCTGAGTTTGACGGGGTGCACTGTGGGGTCCTGCATAGACATCCCAAGGCTGTGCAAGGAGCGGTGCCATTTTGAATCAATGTTTGAAAGGGCACTATTATTGCCTTCGAACATGTGCTTTGTGGTCCAGAGGGATTGGGAGTCCAATGTGTTCCATATCCTTTTGCTGCGAAGAGACGTCCGCTTTCTCCGTCCTCCGTCCTGGTCAACAGGTCAAAGAGTCAGGTCCAGCACCTGATGGATGCCGCAGGGTTGACGCCACCTTCCATGTCGTTACTGTTTTGAAAAGGGATGTGGCTGCAAGACATCTTCAACCTTTGGCATCTCACGACCCCACTAACCCTTGGAACCTTCTGAACTAAGAGACGCACCACTTCACGGCTACCCTACCGAACACATGGGTCACTCGCCTCGTGTTGGCCGATCTTTTCACTCGAAGAAACGCAGAGAAGCTCTGTCCCAGACACGACCTGTCTGAGACTGCCATATCTACCGCCCCATTGACCCCCAGTCAACCACCCCTGGCCTGATCGGCAGTCCTATGGCAGTCCCAGACAGGTCGTGTTTGGGTGTGACTTTCCCAACATCCGACTCCGCGTCCGCGTCGAAACCGACTTGGCGGCCACAATGCCGAGCTGGTCGGCCAGGTAGTGTGAAGAGCTTGGTGGCCAAGCTGGTAGACCTCAGCTGCAGGCCATGGCCATGTGTGTTTTTCAGCCATGGTGGAAGGGGAGCTAGCGGAAAAGGACGAATTGAAACAAAACCATTCGTTGATTGAGGGAGCCATCGTAGGTGCGCGCTGGAGTCCAAGCAAATGGACCAGATCATGTGGCTTGTCAAAAGCCCGAGCGCATGAAGACTTCATCATCGTCGTCATCATCATCATCATCACCATCACCAACAACATCATCAACATCATCATCATCACCATCACCATCACCACCAACATCATCAACATCATCATCATCACCATCATCATCACCAACAACATCATCATCATCATCATCATCATCATCATCGTCATCGTCATCGTCATCGTCACCATATTCATTCATTCATTCATTCATTCATTTTCAGCAGGAGTGGATTCGTCCGTTGGACTTCACGTCCTTCGCCCCGGCCGCACGTCCTTGACCTGCCCCCGGTCCCGTCCTTCTTGGCCGCGCCAGGCACTGCATCCGGAAGTGCAAGGAGAGCTGCCGCTCGGAGGCCGCGAGGATGATCGTTTTAGGGCGGTTCCGACCCGTCCCGAAAGGGGCGTTCCAGGAGCCGGTCCCAGTCGAAGGGCGACCGGCAGGCCCAGACAGGATGCAATATCTAGTTCGGTTTAGTTGGTTTGTATCGATCAAGGCATGCACTGTAATTAAGTTCGCCCAAACACTGCGGCATCATTCCCATGGTGAGAATGTCGACGAAGGTCGTTCAGTGAAGATACTGATGGACCACATCGGACAGAAGGTTGTCCCATGACCCAGTAAACTCTGATTGGACTTGTCCGGTGACGGCTACTGGGTGTTTTTTCCTTCACAAAATTGACAGCGGCACATGAAGCGTCATCACGCGTCGTGGGCCGCACCCAAGGTAAGCACGACCGGGCCATCATTTGCAAAGGCCGGAAAGGCTTTGGCCTTGGCCTCTTCGCAACTTGGCATGGAACGGGAGACTCGCAACAGCAGCGGAAAAGAAACAACTCATAGCTCAGCTCAGTCTTCTCAAGTTGTGGGAGATTTGGGGGGCTGGCTGCCACGAAAAACGGGAGCAGATTGAGCAGATGAACATGCGTGAACATCCAGATGAAGGGCTAGTTCGGTTCGGCTAGGCCAAGCAAGAATGTCTGAAATTCTATGTTTCCTAGTTATCCCAAGCTTTACAGGAAGAAACCACAGAGATCGTATCTCTCTGGATCTCTACCTTTGGATCTCCCCATTGGTCCTTCGAACCACGGCGAGTTCCGTCGCCTGACTCCCCTTGCGAGTGCTCGCGCGGTGCCCGTGAGGTCTTCACCTACGACCAGCGCATTCCAACGAGCTTGTGGGATCACCACACCGTGCTCCGCCGCGGCCTCACCGTGCTGGTGCCGCTGCCGGAGCCCTTCCGGGACCGCGAGGAGCAGTGAAGAACCGGGTGGAGCGTTGAGTCGTGGGGCGTAGACCGTTGTTGTGTGGTGGTCGAGGGTGCGAGGGGGTGGCGTATTGAGTGCAGAGATGTGCATTTGGCGGCATGCGCTAGATACTTGGCGAGTAGTTCCTTTTGGTGGATGAAGTCCAGTAATGCCAGTAGCAAGGTGTCTTTGTGGATAAGGAACGAAGTCTAGAGTTGAGGTGCTTGAAGAATTCTCCTGAACTGAACCGATCTTGAGAGAGCTTTTGAAAGTATAACAGTGAGAGAAAGCTTTTGTGGTCCTACTATCGACATCTATCTATTTATGGCACAAAGACACACAAAGATGGAAAACATACAAAGTAAGAAGCCCGTGTTTGCACAATGAGATACCTTCTGTGATAAGTGAATCCACCGCCAACACACATCAACTTGGAGTACAACTTCCCTTCAAGCATCCTCTCTCCGTCCCTCCGTCCCTCCGTCTCCCTCCCTCCCTCCTTCCCTCCCTCCCTCTTTCATGCACCACACTCACACACACACAGTGTGCGTGCGCATGGGGAGGATGGCAGTCCACTGGAGCTGAGTGTCCTGGAAGAGGCCACGCAAAACGACTCGCCCTTGGAAGTGGCCGAGTGTCGCTTGGATCCACGTCCGGGCCGTGTGCGTGTGACACACCGTGTCTTCCGCCAACAAACATCCTTTTGGGTATTAACAAATCGCCTTTGGGTTTTAAACATCCTTTAGATTAAAGAACACATCTTCAAATTCCTTTGGGTTTCAATTGATTTTGAGGTGTTTTAAGAATCACAACCCAGTCTGAACCCTGCTGTTGACAGTCAAGAGATCCGGGACACTGTTTGGACATCTTAAGATATTCCCCTGAGAACTCCATCAGATAACCCAGACGCCTCCATGTATATCCATGTATGGTATTCAAATCTATATATGCCTACATTGATATGGTGTGGCGGGTCAATGTGTTCCACACATGGAGTGTCTGGCAACAGTTTGGGCTTTTGAGCCTCGCGCAGATCGAGCCGCTTTTTGAAGCAAGCACTTTTGGGTTGAATGAATGATCTTCAATGAAGCATCCTTGTTTGGCTATAGCTGCCCAACATCTTCATGCTTCGAATGCTTCATCACCTGCAAGAACTCTAGGGCCTAGGTGGATTGGGTACACCCCACTCGGAAAGAACAGACACGCGTTCTTTTTTCTTCCGCAAACATGGCCCCCAACACCCAACACCTCGAGTTCGAACGTCGCGACGCGAAGCGCGCTGCGCCGGACGTCGCGACGGACCTGCGACGGAGACTGCCGTCGACGGGGCGACGTCCCGCACGGCGCAGCGTGGGTCGACGTGGGTCGACGTGGGGGAAGCCTGGTGGGTTCGAGTCGAGTGGGTGGACAGCGCTGTTATGCCAATTGGGGCCCAAGACAAACAGAATCTATAGGAGACGTTCTTGGAGTGAAGGGGTTCCAAACAAAGAGCCGCAGCAAATCCATGGGAGCAGCCAACAATTCCTGAGTTTGGTGGGCTGTTGATTTGTTTGGAGAGGCTTGGAACTGCTTGGCTGTGTGTTGTGGATCTTTGAGCAGCATTGGCCTTCTTTCTCTTCAATATCTTGGTGGATTTGGTGCTTGCCTGGAGTGGGGATGAGGAAGATTCCGGCCTCCGAGGCATGCCGAAGTTCTTCGAAGCGGACGAAAGTACGCTGAAAGGCGAAGAGACCGGGAAAGGGGGTCGAATGAGAACAAAAGGACTCCCAAGTCTCCGAAATCCTAACACTAAAGGAGTGCCCTCCTGCAAAGGACCACATGTGCCCCAAAACCATCCAAAACCAATTTGCAATTGGGAACAATGGTCAAAACATGTCTTCGTCTCCACAAGGAACTTCCGTCTCATCCTCAGGGTCCATCGACTCGTGAGCCATGACTCCGGTGTATTGGGATCGGTTTGGGGATCCACTTGCTCCACTTGACCACCTGCTCCACCTCACCACCCCAAGACCAGGTGCTTCGTTGCTGCGTTGCGTCGGAAGAAATCGCCGTACAAAATGACGCGAGAGGGTCGAGGAGGTGTCGAAAGGCAGGGATTGATTGATTGGAAGACGCATCACAGAGACTTATGTAAGACAAACTTGATGCATCAGCTTCTTAACAGAGACCCAAGAGCCTACAAATTATAGTTGGACGATGATGATGATGATGATGATGATGATGATGATGATGATGATCAGTGGAGGAAGAGGCAAACCACCACGTACCATCAACAGAATTCAACAGATTTCAATCTGTATAAGCTCCCTGTATAATATCTGAAACACAATATACCCCTTAATCAAAGAACCTGGAAAAAACCACGATGGAAAAATAAATCTTGAATATGTACTAAGGAAAAGTAAAAAGACAGGATTTGTGGAAAAAACCTGACTATTTCCCAAGAGCCTTGAATTCCCAGGTCTCCAACACTTTGCTCCAAGGATCTGGATGGAAGGTGGCTCAAATCGACCGCCGGGTGCTTCTGGTGAGCTGTTGGTGGAAGAAACTTTCCCACGTGTCCAATGTGTTTTTTAGGTAACAAAATCATCAGTTCTTATCATCACTTCAATCTTCAAGAACCGAAACATTGGAGGAGCCAATGGAACGGCAATAGGTTGTTCTGGAGCTCTTCTCAAGAGTTTTCAATCGGAAGGTTTGACAACCCTGGAAGAGCACAAACACAAATTTGTACTGTCTTGCACCCATGTTGATCCTTCGCAACATGGCACACTCTGATGTGTGGCTGATGACACCTGCCAGCTGGGCTTCCCAGAGCACTTTTTTCCACTGACAGTCAGCTCAGAGTGCATTGCCATCCAAAGTCCTGCAAGAGCATGGCCAACTGAAGACTTACTGTAAGGGAAGCAACTCACGTCCAGTCTCCACACATAAAAACTATTCTCTATGCCACTGCTCTTCTTGTTTGCTTAACTTATATATTCACTGAAGGTTTTGGCTCAAGCTACTTGGTCTTACAAAGATTGTAGAGGCAATGCCCCGAAAGCCGCAGTTGACGCTGACGGGTTTGGCAAATGTGTGGGACCTTGATCCAGATGTCAGAGAATTTCTCCGGAGTGATGAACACACATTTCTACGATGTGCAGGGCCTGTTTTCAAGGCCACTGTTGCATCATGTTCAGCTCATGCTGCGCAAATCCTTCCACTCTTACAAGTGACCAAGCAGCTTGTCCTTAGAATGGTATGTGCAAGGTTCATGTTTGAACGCAACATGTTTGCGCAGTGCTTCGCAAAAGAAGACAAGAACATCCACAAACATTTTGCAAACTTATAAATGTTGTTTTTGCAAACCCCACGCCACACAACATGGCAAGCTAAGGGACAAGAAGTTGCCGGACCTGCCCTCACTGCAAGCAGAGCTCAAAACACTTTACCAGACCAACAGCTTGGTTCATGCTGAGGAGGTAATCTACAGGGAATCATGGGGACTTAAGGCAGCTCTCGGGCTAATCAAAAGAAAAGGGCGAAGATGGGAGATCACAAAAGAACTTTGACTGCAATGTGCACTTGCTATCGGGGTTTTGCTGTGGAACTGCGTTTTTTTTCTAAGAACTGTAAAGCTGACCTTTTAACTTGTCCACGCAGTTTGGAGGCATGTTCATGTGTGTGTGCGTGCTGATCTCAGGACCAACGCTTTCGTGATCTATTGCTTATTTGGTTTCCGGAAATGCAGGCAAGGTGGTGTGTGTGTGTGTGTGCTGGGCAACCGGCTGCATTTTTGATGGATGGTTCAGCCATGAGTTTTCATTGATTCCATATTTTCTGCCAAATCGCATGAACATTTGCGGTTTTGTCATCTTCATCCAACAAAGCCATATTGGCCATAGTCACAGTCTTTCCAGCGAGGGGTTGGGTGCTTTTCAGGAGTTCATGGAGCAGAATCCCATTGATACCAACTCCCCGTACTACGATGCTATGCCTACATTAATTTGTCGTGAGTTTGCCTCATTTTGTTTCATGTGCTTAGGATGCTTTGGTGCTTTATCAAGATTCTTTGTGTGAGTAGTTTAGGATGAGGCGGACGAAGAGGAGATTGCTGATGGTGACGATGGTGACGATGGTGCCACTGGTGAAGATGCAAATGACGACGGTGATGCACCAAATGGGCATGAGAACCCTGGAGAGACAGCCAGTCCCGACATGAAGATGCCTGAAGAGGAAACGGATATCGCCCCAACAATCGCAGTTGTTCCGGAAGACCAAGGCAGTGCAGGAGTTGCTGCCCCCGTTCCCGACCCACCATGTGAGCCAACAGAGGAAAGCTTGTTTGGAAGTCAGCCGGCTGAGCAGGCTGAAGGGGTGGAGGTGAAAGAGGGTTTAGTACAAGATGGACAGGGAGAAGGGGGTGGAGAGTGGTTTCCAGGTGAACCCTCGGCCTCGCAACCTGATCCGGACGGAGACAATTCAGACCAAGTTCCTGTTGATTCCGATCAAGGCTTGGCTCCAGGTGACATGCCCATGGAGCCACTTGTGATTGAAGACTCACAGCCACCAGGGGGTGAGGCTGAGACTGAGACAAAGGTGCCTGCACCGTCCACACCAGACAGTGTAGCACTTGATTGCGCGCGACCATTGCGCAAAGCGGTGCATATTCAAGAAGTGCTAGATTTGCTTGACAGCCCTGAAGTCCAACCTCCCAAATGTGCCATGACAGGCATTATGCTGTTTCAGTGGTGAATCAGTCAGTTGTGATTTTCATTATGCTGCGCTGGCGTCAAACGCTTGCCAAACATAAGTTGACATTCCACCAAGGTGGTCCTGTTGAGGGCAAGAGTATGCTTTCTGTGGATGAGAAGATTAAGATGTTGAAGCAAGAGCTCATGAGGTGGATTGCTTTACAGTGATTGCATGATATTGCCTTTGAAACCTACACATTTTGTTTCATCCATGGATCTTCCAGTGGACTGCAGGCGGGATAGCCTGCGTGCCAGTGCCCAGCTAGCTGCTCAACAAGGCCTGCGCGTCATGTCCTGGGATGGCAACTTCTTTACAACCATGCGTGTATTTTGGAAACGTCCGATGTATTGAATCTAGACTTGATCTCGCATCTCGCAGAGGCGTGATGATGGTAGATGATTCCTTACCCTTTTGAGGTGACGGACACTATGGAGACACAGGTCCGGGATGTGCCCATGCCGGAGGCAGTTCCTTCAATAGTTTCTCCATTACTTCGCTTGCCCTCAGTTGCTGGTGATCCACTGCCTCAGATTGTTGAGGAAGGATCGGTACCTGCGAACATCAGTTGCTGTATTGTTGTTTTTTATATGTGCTATGGTCCAAAATTTATGGCACCTTCCTGTGAAACTATGCAGCTGTTGCTATATTTTGGCGATGCTAAAGTACTAAAGGCGACCTTTTTGTGTTTTGCTCAGGTATTGACTCGCAGAGAGCAGCTTCAGTCTAGGAAGGAGTCGAAAGAGGAGGGCGGAGGTCGAGGGCGGCCAAAAGGCAAGGGTCGAGGGCGGGGAAAAGGAAAAGGTGGAGGCCGGGGAAAAGGAAAAGGTGGAGGGAAGGGGAAGACAAAAAGCAAGAATAAGAAAGACAAGGAAGAAACCAAACCAAAAAGAAACAAGACAAAGACAGACAAGTCATTGGACGTGCCTACGGGTGAAGAGGCAGAGAGGGAGCAACCCAAGACCAGGCCAAAGGCCAAAGCAAAGGCAAAGACACAAGCAAAAGCCAAAGCAACCCCACGAGCAAAAGCAACTGCGAAAGCAAAGGCTGGAGCAAAGCGGGGCCGGACACCTGAACCTGCGCCTGCGGTTGGAGCTTCCCCAGAGAAGACCGGTGAGGAATCACGTGCTGAGCACCCCGCCAAGAAGGCCAGGAAGGTGAAGGAAGCCATGGAGGAGAGCCGAATGCCTGTGCCTGAAGAAACTGCGGACGACGGTTCTGATGAGGTTGAGCTCAAAGCTGAGCCCAAGGGAAAGGCACGACGTGCCCCCAAAGCGTCTCCCAAGGCAGCAGCAAGCAAGCAAAAAAGCAACAGCACGGGATCTAAGCAGGTCAAGAACACGAGCAAGGAGAGAACAAACAAGACATCCAAGCCAGCCAACATCGAGGTACCTTCGCCGGAGGACAATGAGGCTCAACTCATAGAGGGCTTAGCGGACACCCTGCTCTCCACGCTCGTGCGTGAATGGAAGTCTGGCAGAGTGAATCTCCGCGGGGATGATTTTGAGAAGCGGGTGTTTTCCAGGTCTTCCTTTTCACCGTACTACACCAGGTCCAGGCCATCAGTGGGGCTCAAGACCAGGCTGCCCACTTGGAGGTCCAACAAGGAATTTGCAAACTTCAGCTTCCCAATGGCGGATGTTTTGAACATTGCCTTCGCCCATGCGTGCGCGACACACACAGCCCTGTCCCAAGTTATCCTAAATTGCAAAGGTTGCTTCCAGTGTTTTTTTATTTATTCGTCCTTAACTTTACACGCGTGCAATGGTGGTTCACAGTGTTCTATGATATGTTCACGCAGCTAAGGCCGCATGGCTGGATGACGTCAACGCCAATGATGCCCAGAATTGTTTGAACCCTGAGAAGCTAGTTGACCCTTGGACACCCGGTGTCCAAGCCTACATCCGGAATGTGAAGTTTACGGCTGAACACGCCATCAGCAAATTCCGGACTGAGAACCCTGGGATTTTTGAAGTCTAGCTAGTTGA